GTGGCTCGACGATGCTTAACTTCTCAATCGGACGGGATGAGGTGCATTCATCGTGATATGGCCGTAGCCATCAATTACGTTAATAAATTGAATATAAGGCTAACATCATCAATACGGTTAATATTAGCACCTCCTAATTGAGATTTTAAACACACTTGAACAATTTCTGAAACACCAACTCTCAATTGAGCATTATTTCCATAGCAGTTTGCAAGCATCCAAGATGAGGTAACACTTTGAAGTTTAGTATTGCCTTTGAAATTGCGTAACATGTAGTAGTTAGAAATTTAAAATTAGGCTTACAAGTTGATACATTTTTGATTTTGATGAAGGAAATTTAATGAAAATCATGAATAAACAAAAGAAAACGACAAAAAACAACAAAACAACCCTCCTAATCAATAAATTGTCTTTTTCAACAGTATCGTTCTGTTTCAATAACATTACTCCTCACCTTGATCATTCCAAAGTAACTAGTTCTCCAGTTTTAGAATTCCATGTAGTTTTTTTTCGTTTTGGTGGTTCCAAAAGTTACAATGAGTTCCCAACTAATTATTTTAAGCAACACGATCAGGACCGTTAAATGAGAATATTGTAAACTAATATCCTCCCTTATCCATATCAAATTGTGTTGTTGAGTTCTATTCGATAGTTAGATGATACTGAGGTGTTACCATTCCTCTTACTGACTTCTCAATAAGGTTGTTCCACATTGTTCAACCAATTCAATTCTCAGAAAACCATTGAACTCTATTAAACTCCATTGTAAATATTGTAATCTTACACAGTAAAATTTCTATAAATTCAAATTGACTATTCTTTATGATAAAAAACAACACAAAAAAAACAATATTCAATATTGGATTGTATCTGAAAACTCCTCAACAAACTTTATATCAAAATGACTCAACAAACTCACGAAGAATTATTCAATGAAAACATGTGTGGAAGTGGTTTGGCATTCAAGAAGGTAGTTCGTGAATTATTCAACAATCGTATTGTTCCTGCAACCAAGAATCTTCAACAAGTCAATTCAAAGATGATCATCTTGTTGGATTGGGCTTCTCTTGCTGCATTGCCAACTGAAACCAAATACAAGTATGGTGATAGATTGCTGAAGA